AAAAATCCCTCTGACAGCACAAGGCTTCGGCAGGGCAGCTAGACACAAACCATGACAGGATTGAATCCAGGGCCTTTGCAGTAATCTAAATCCCCAGTCTTTTCTAATTTTATATTTTGAGACAAGATCTTATCAAGTTACTCAAGTTTTCCAGGCTGAGCTCGAATTCATGATCCTCTTGCTTCAGCCTCCCAGAGTGCTGAGATTATAAGAGTGTGCTACCAGAGGATTGGCTATAAGACTGTAGGATACACAGTATTATACCTTATATAAAGTTAAAAGTGAGGTATGTGTCACTGTATAGCCAGATGTACAAGCCAGTAACCATAGGAGCTGGGTGTCATTTTTGTCAGGCTTGTCATTTTTGTTTCTCTTTTGTGGAGCAAGAAGTCATTAGTCAGAACTGGTTCACCTCCAAGCAAACCACCTCAGCTTTTTCTATAAATGTCCTAGGACAGTTCAGACATAATACATTTTTATATGCCCTGTATTTTCCGTTGTCATTTTTTCCTGTTACTGTCAAGGAAGGTTGAAAAGTGTTTCAAAGTATATGAGAAGTGAGAGTAATAGAAATTTCTAAAATTTCTAGGAGTGTATGAAAGTGCTCTACAAGATGAATGTGTTTGTGGACAACCACATGTCACCATTGTACACTCACTAAGAACCTTTTAACCATAGCAACAAGTCATGTCTCCCCAGACTTTTCTCATGACTCTCTTAGATACCGTCATGACAGCCTTGGACACTCATGCACAAGCTAAAACCTATGCAACACATGCAGAAACACACCAGTAATCTAAATAAGGGACAGATATGACCTTAACAATACTTTTCCTACAGGCAATAGGGCAAAAAGACACTAACAACTTTCCTCTATGGGCCTGGTTAATTTTGCTTTCTTTGTGACTCTCTAGTGTATGCTTCTGCAACACCAAACTGACAGAGATGGTGCTAGAATATTCTAGAAAGCTATTTGTGCCTTTGGGGTGGAGTGGATTGCTAAGCATGCTTTAGAGTGAAGATCTTACAGAAAACCTAGTTTTAGCCCTTCATTTTATCCAGTGGCAAAAAGAGTCTGAAAGGCCATCGGACTTACAGAGGTCACATAGCAACTACTGAAATCATTTGAGTCCCTAATTCATTGTCCAAGTGCTTTAATTGAGAGTAAGGGATAAGAGAAGGCCAAAAAGAGATTTACTCCTAGTTACCTTAGGAAGAGTGATGAAAAAAATACTCTTACGCAGCCTTGGAAAAACAAATTTTGGTTTGCAGCCTCCAGTAAAGAGAAGATTGTTCAAATTCATCAAATATTTGGTTCTGAGCTCTCTGTCTTCTTGTTTTCTGTGAAGAAACTATGTTTAATACCTCATGAGAAAGTCTGCATATTACAAAGAATGTTTTTTATAATGGTCGTCCTGAGGAAGCTCCTTTTTTTCAGTGGGAAGTGATAATTTAAACATGAATTAAGTATGACAACATTAAACATTTTTTTCTTGGTATGGAGTCAATAAAATTTAAGTAGCCCTATGTCTTTAACATAAACAAAACAGTATATATACAATTTCTTTTCAACTTTTATTTGCAAGTTTTCATGAATATTAGGGATGCACAGAATATGAAAGAAATTTTTCAACTGTTAAGTTCCTAATTTGCTCTGTATCATCAAATGGCAGAGCAAGTGAGTATTTTATAAGAATAATTTAGCATTTTGTGTAATTCAGCCTTAATTAATTAATTAATTTTTGCTGTACTGGGGGTTGAACTCAGGACCCTGTGCTTGCCAGGCAAGCACTTACTCTACTGAGCTATCTCCCCAGCCCTCAGCCTTAATTTATCTAAAAAAGAAAAAAAAAAAAAATTCAAAGTTCCTTTGAAGGTATAACCCAGTTCTGTAGCTGCCGTAAAAAGTGACGAAATCCATGCCTTACCCACAGGTTAGTAATGCAGTAACGTCCCTAGTTAATTGACACGATCAAGGGCTTATTGGGGAGGGGACATTTTTAGTAAATATTAACAACACAGAAATCTTGGATTAACCATGGGACTTACATGGCTTTCTCTGATTTGAAGTGAAAAGTGCCTACTTTACTTTGAATAAATACTCTGTTTTTACCAGTGCTTTTGTCCTGGGAAGACTAAGCTGTTGTCCCCCCCGGCCCCCCCTCCCCCAACTTTAATTGATCTCGGGTGGATCCCACATCCACATCTAGACACTTGTATCTCTAAAGGGTCTGGTTCTGGAAGAAAAACGAAAGGTGGGAGGTGTTGGAGTGGGATGAGGAGGCCACTTTAATTGCCACTGGGAATCCCCTCACCAAGTTTCCTTTGGCTCCTGGGCGTCCTTGGGTAAAGGAGAATGGAGAGAGGTCGAGGGAAAAAAAATGCCAAGGAATGTTTAAAAAGTCACGTGCAAAAAGCAAGCCAAAAGTGGAGGAGAGCTGAACTCTGAGAGGTTTCACAATAGACTAGATTAAGTTTCTTTATGGTAACAATGTGAACATTCGGTTCGTGATTTTATTTCCTAATCACGATAAGCAGAAATACAAACGCCGTGCCCCACAGCCCTTCCCAGATCCCAGAGCCACAGTTCGGAGATGCCAAAGTACCAGCCACATACTGCACCACTCTACACTGAGTCGATCGGGTTAGATGATGTATATATACACAATCGTGGTGTTGGAGATCAGTGGGAGTTCTCTTTTTCATTTGTTTTTATTTCGATGATATAACTCTTGGTGCATAATAATGACTTAAAACTATAAAGATTGGCCATCGCAAAATGGCTGTTTGCAGCGCACGTCGCACCGCTGGAAGAGACGGAAAACGCGATCTTGCTCCAAACAAGGGCTGCCCGGAAGTCCTGAAGGGTGCAGGGAGACGGCCGCCAGTGGCACTGGGACGCGAGCAGGAGTGGCGCAGCCCCGGCAGCGCAGACTGGCGATCCCGGGAGGTGGAGGAGGGGTCTATACACCGGCGCTTCCTTCGCGGCGCGCTCTGGCTTCCGCGGTGCAGAAGCCGGTGACCTCCGTCTCCCGGGCGAGCGCGCCAGCTGGGTCTCCCAAGCTGTTAAGTCCTGCAAGGATGGGACTCTGTCTCCCTCTCTTGTTGTTGGCCCACTGTGTGTTGCACGGACAAGAATAGGTGACGGGTGCTTGAGACCTGGGGCTAGAACCAGCAGTTTCTGGAGTCCACTCTGGATTCCTGCCAGCGAAGCTGTCCACGAGGCTAACCTGGAATCTCTTCGGGGTCTGGAGGAGGAGGATCTAGGGCGCAGGTGGGAGGGTTAATGTGCTGGGGCCGGATGCAGTTGGTTTCAGGGCACAGAGTTCCAGTCTGCGGTTTGGTGACCCTACGAGTTGGAGCTGGGGAGCTGCAAGGGGTCGCAGACGTGGGCTGGAGTTTAAATTGTGAAGTCACTGTAGTTTGGCTTTTCTGATATCAAAGTAGCTCCCCTGTCTTGTGGAGGAAGGACAGGCCTTGGGGACGGAGCTTCAAGCCCTCGCAAAGCATCCTCTAAGACAGAGACTTCTTAGGCCGTGCGCGATGGCCGTCCTAGATCTCCGAGACCCGCCGATTGGCGTATCTTTTCGGTGGTGGAGTCCTCCTCAGCTCGCCGTGCGGCTGGAGCCGTCGCAAGCTTGTCCCTGGGCAATTCTTTTAGACCAGTCAACCTCTTATTTCTCGAGGTCATTTTTTGGACCGGTCTTTCCATTGGCCGATCCCCCCTCCCCCCAACACGCACTTCTCCTTTGGGGGTTCCACTTGAAGGGCAAGGCGGAGCAAGGGAGGGGTGGTAATTCGCAGGAGCCTCAGAAACGCCTGGGTCCGGGGGAGGTTGTGGTTAGGGCGAGAGGTGTTAAAGAGAAAGGAGTACACACAAAATTTGGAAACTTGGGGAATTGTATCCCCGATGGCAACACAGCAGAAAAGCTAAAGCAAACACGTCCGTGCGGTATCCCCAGGACAATCCAGCAGCACCAGCTGTTTCTTAGGAAAGGCGAAGCCTTTGTAAGCTGTCTTGGCGTTGCGGCTTTTCTGCACGAGGACGTTTGGCTCTGGCGCTGCCCAGCCCTTGAGCCCAAGCCTCCGGGAGCTCTTCGGCCCTCTGGCCCCCACGCCTGGGACAGAGTACCTTCGGGCTTCGCAGACGGCAGGCCAGCTCTGGGCTGCGCCGCCTCTGGTGTACTCGGTAATCGCCACGTTTTCCTCCTTCTGGGTCAGGGATTCTTTTCCTGTCGGACCAGAACCAGTCCCGGCCAGGTGCTCCACGACACGCGTGGTGCTCCTTGTTACCAAAAGCTGACCGATTTCCAGGGCAGCCTAAACCTAATTTCCTTTCTGTACGAATCCTCTTCCGGACCCCCTGGGTCCTCCCCAGTGGGCAGGGAAACATTCGAATCTCTGAGAACAGGCTCAATTTAAGAGCAGGGTAGGGCGGGGCGGAGCGGGCGGGGCCGAGGTTGTTCTTTGGGATTGAATTTCTCGCCAAGCCACTTGGAAGAATTTCGAGCGGATAAAGCGCAAGTTTGTGCACTTGGTCCACAGAACGATTGCAAACCGAGAAAACAAACAGCTACTGAGAAAATAGGGACTTTGTCCTGCAGTCGCTGCTGACGGGTGTGCGAAACGCTTGGGATGTGAACTTTCTGCAGATCGTGTATGGAGGGGGCTAAAGGAAAGGAGGGAGGGAAGCGGGTCAGAGGGGGCCGCGTGGCTCAGATTTGGGGCTTTCTCTGCGCCCAGGAACTGAGGTGGGATGCCGCGACTAGGACAGAGGGAAAGAGTAGACCACGAACTGCGGACTAATTAGCTTAAGGCATTTTGCAACCTCGGGAAAAGGTCGTTGAAGGAGTTAGCTGTGCAGAAAAAAAAAAATCTTAAAAAAGAGTGCTGGGCATGCGCACAGAGAGGATGCCATATTGGAATGAGGCTGTAGTGGGAGCTGGAGGACCGGAGTGGGCGCGTGAGGGAGGCGGCGGGCGAAAAGCGAGGAGCGAGGAGCTAGGAGCGAGGGCGGGCGGGCGAGCGAGCGAGGCCGGCGTCCTCTCTGGAGACGCCCGGGGCCGGGGTCCAAGCTGAGGCGGGACCAACTTCATCAGGTAGGACGCGGCGCCAGCCACGGTCCCCGGCTGTGGACAGACCTCCGGCCCACAGGTTGAGCGCGTGGGTCAGCGTCTTTTTTTTCCGGCTTAGGAAAAAAAAAAAAAAAAAAAGGAAGCCGGATCTACCCCTGGGGTGGCGGTGGGGGGTGGGGAGGGAAAGAGCAGCGGAACCCGAGAGAAGGGCTGGGGAAGAAAGCGCCAGCACTTGAGCGAAACCCCAAACTCCTCTCTATGCTCTGGGCTGTCATTTTTGCTGCCTTGGTCCCCCTTCCCCGAGTCTTTTGCGTCTGCAAAGCCCCTCCGTGCCGGAGTCCGTCTGGAGTTGCAAAGTGTCCTCCTCCCCCGGGTGCGGCCGGTCCTTCCCTCGAGTGTGCACTCGTTTCAGCCGTGCAGCGACCTCTCCTGCGCTCCCGCATCTCCTCCGCACCGAGATTTCCTTTGGGGGTGCATTTGGAGTGGGGGGTGGGGAGAAGGCGGTGGGGAGGGGGCTTGGAGACCCGTGAGAGGGTCGGAAACCTCGGAGACGTTTGCTGTTGCTCCCTTGAAAATACTGGCTGTGCAGCTGAAATGAGATAGGCAGTAGTAGTTTCGGAGCGTGCTCCAGTAAAGATGATCTTTTTGTTCTTTTTAAAAATCCCCCTCAAAGTAATATCCTGTCATTTGGGGCTTTCCTGTTGTCTCCTCGCCTCCGACTTCCTTTCTAGATGACTAACCTGCTCCGGCTTTAGAGTTTATTTTTCAGTGTGTGCGCGCGCGCGAGCGTGTGTGTTGCTGAAATCCCCCCAAAAAGCAACTGTAGGAACTGCAGGGTATCTTTATTGATTTTTGACCGGGGACAGCTGGATGGGATTAGCCGGGGAAGGGGGATCCCTGGGAATGGGAAGTGGCCGCTTCTCGGCCGCCGGACGCGCGTCCAGAGCCCCATCCGCACTTGCGTTTTCTTCGAAGCGCTACCCCGGGCGGGGAAGGAGTCTTCCGACACCGTGCCAGTTTCAATATGGCGGGCTAGGTGGCTTTTAAGAACTGAAAATAAAGGTTTTGTGGTGGGAAAAACCCCAACCGAAGTAGCCACACCTTACTTTCAGCTCTCTTTAGTTACCCCGGGAATCGCTTTAGCGAATTAAGTGAGAAAAAAGAAAGGGAACTTGCCGCCCTAGTTTTTTCCGAGGTTAGAGTCGGTGTCAAGTCCATTGCTAGAGGGTGACGGGTGGACGGCTGCTCCGGCAGGGACTAGAACCTGGGGGCGCGCTGGCCCGGTGTGCCTGTGCGTCTGTGTACGGTACACGCTTGCGTGTGCATTTGCGGGGTGGAGGCGCGCCCAAAGAGATCCGCCCCGAATGTGTGTGCGTCGCGGAACCAACACCTTGCCAGGATTTGACGCGACAAACTGCTGACACGTGGTGCCAAAATACAAGAGAGCAGAGGGAATGCTTTATTTCGGCTTTCTAGGTGAGCTCTTTTTCCGTGTGCCGGATCCTGTGCAGTAAAGCCCCGAATAAGTGGAGCGAGGAGGTACTTATTAAAGGGACTACAAAAGGGACTTATTAAAGGCCAAGGTTTTGGGTGCAGTCGAATTGCAGACCTCAGTGGGATTTTGTGTGTGCTGGATTTAGTGGGCTTTTGCTTCCCTTCACGCCACGCTAGGGTGGAAGGTTGAGGTCCAAACCAAAGCGCTGGGAGGATGAAAGCACGGGGGCAGAAAGATAGGGGCGCTCAGAGCTCAGCCGAAAGATTTGCAGGGTCCAGGTGGGGAGCTGCTTTTGTTGCTTTCGGGTTTCTCGGAGTCGGGGTTTGGGGAAAGCACTGGGGTGTGGAGGGGCTGCCCCTTGCTCGGGTAGAGAACCAAAGGGCTGTGAGTGAGGCGTCTTCCTCGGGCCTTGGCGGGCGTGCACGCGGCACTGCGGCCTTGGAGAGTAGTGGGAGGCGAAATGTCTAGGGAGGGGCCCGTTTTGGGGCCTGGGGGTGGAATTTGGAGACAAAAATCGGTACTCGTAAGGAGAGCCTTAGGGAAAATACGCAAACGCTAGTACAGAGAAGAGCCTTCCGGAATGCGGGAACGTGCCTTAGCTGGGAACTGGGGTCCCCGACAGGGGTCGCCCGTGTCCAGGACGCAGCCGCCCAGCTGAGAACGCTCGGCCGTGCTAGCCGGAAAGACCCTAAGAGGGGACCGGGGCCACGCGGCAGTCGTGAGCGTGCCCCAGGTCTAGCTAGGGCAAGTCCAGGTGACTTTTCCCGGGGTCGCGAACCTGACCGCATAGTGGCCAGAAGCTGGGAGACATTTTTAAAAAGACAATTAAAAAAATAGGGCTACCCAGGTTGGTAGTTACCACAGTAACGTGGTTTCCAGCGTTTGTAGGGGCCCAGTGGAGGTTCTATATGCTTAGACTACTGCCTAGCTGTTGGAGGGGCGGTCCCCTCGCGGAGTCGGGTGGGCGGGGGCCAGAGTGGCACCTCGATTGGAGACATAGCGACAGGTTTTTCCTCCCACCCGAGCAGCGAGGCAGAGCGATCGGAGACGCGCGCAGATCGACGCGCGTTTCGCCCCTGGGTGCAGAGCGCGCCGCCTCCCAGCCCTTCCCGCCTGGCTCCGGCCTGTCCTCCGAGGCCGGCTCTTCGGAAGGCTCCGCGGAGGTGCCGATCAGCCTAAAATGGCTCTGTGCTGGTAAATTGCAGTTTCAGCTGTGAACCCCTCCCCTCGCCCTCCTGACGTCGATGCTGACAAAGGTACAATTCACTCCAGAGCACTGAAACCCACGATTTTGCACCGTGGAAACCGGGAGGACTGAATACAGGTTATTACAAAGGACATTGTACAGGATTCTCACAGGGCCTAAGTTTTTCTTGGAATTGATACAGCTCTGGAGCTCAGCTGACCACCGTCCCAGTACCGAAGGCTTCTAGGGTGCTCCAGCGGCAGGGGAGAATGTGGGGATTTTAAGTGCAAAAAAAACCTGAACGAGGTCCCAGGACACTCAGATGGGTGTACGGAGCGATGGCCACAGCACCAGTGCGCGTCCTTGATGGCATTTGCAGTGTTCTGCAGTCCTGAGTGGGGGAGTCTGGGAGTCTGGGAGACCGTTCCCAAACTCTTGAGACTTGCTCGTGGTTTCGCTTTCGGAATTTTTAGGATCTTTTTTCTGGAGTTTAGTGGGATTCCGGGAAGGGCGCGGAGGCGCTCGGACCCCGTCGTGCGGTGGCCGACTGCCCGCCCACCTCGGGATCTCTAGCCGTTGCCACGCTGTATTGTTGCAACGCTGTGAGGGGTCTGGGGCTCCCGGGGGCAGTGCGCTATCTCCGCGCTGCATCTGGAGGCTCGAGTGGAGCTGTCGCGACCGATTGGAAGTGGAGCGCCGGGAAGCAGTTTTCTAGGAGGGTCCACCACACTTGGATCCTGAACCATCTCCGCTGTCCCGTCCTCTCTCCAACCCCTCCACCCCTGCACTGTAACCAAGGAATTTGGGCGACAGATTGGCGTGACTAGATTGAGCAAATGGATCCAGGTTCAACCAGGTGGGACAAAAAGCGAAAACGCTGAAATTCAGCCTCATTTTCTGGGAAGACGATTGGAGGTGGGGAAGGAGATAGGCCATATGCGGAGTGAAGAGGAAGGAAGGAATTGTTGGCTGGGTTGACCTTTGAGATAGGAGATCTGCTACCTTTTCCTTACTAAGCGTTATATTTGCACCCCATTTGCCTCTTTCCAGCCATGAGTAAATACCGTTTCAGATCTTTATTTTAGCTTGATGCTGGTCTGCAGCTGGGGAGGCAGAGAAATGCATGGAGGTCCCAAAGCTTCCAGACTCCCACCCAAGCTTTTACTGCCTGAGGGGTCCATTTCAGGGCTAGGCGGGGACAGGGGAATCTTGGCAGTTCCCATCACAGAGAAGCTTGGTCTGGATGGGTGTTGTTGCATAGATGAGGCCAGACCTGCTGAGGGAGGAGTGGAGCAACTTGCCTGTTAGGATGTGGTACCTTGAATCTCAGTCTCACCTAGAGGTGCATTTCACTAATGATGGGGTTATTGATCATGGAGTCTTCCCTCTTCAACGTGTGTTCTACAGGAATTGTAGACCAATTAGAAAAAAAAAACAAAAAAAAAAAAACAACAAAAAACCAAACCCAAAACTTGCTAGATATAAATGGCCAGTTCCTTGATTCTTGGAATGAATAAAATAAAGCCGGAATAGGTTCCTGACACCCCTCTTCCTTTTTATTCATAGGCTTTCCTGGGACTATGGAACTTTGACCACAACCCCTTTGAATCCACTTTAGCTGAGACAACATTTTCTACTTTTTTTTTCTTGCCAGTGGCATCAGAGGACTTAGAAGACCTAGTGATGATAGCGTATGTGTATGGGATTCTGTTAGTGGATATAGGATCCTCTAGGGTCTAAGAAGCTTGTATAATGTGAAGTCAAACTTTCCAGCCCCTACACTTCCGTGTAAAATATTTTTGTGAGTATATCAAATAAGAGTTTTTGTCTATTTTTCTTTTTAATTAATTTGAACAAAGAAACACTTCCTGTAGAATTTTCACAACCTTCAATTCTGATGCAATGGGTTTTGGCAACATCGCTCTTTGCATTTTACTATTTAGAATTTTTATAGTTCATGTAAAGTGTAGGGGTAATAAGGAATTTCGATCCTTCTGTAGATTTGGAACTCAAGGAGTTGTATCAGAGTGGTATTGAGATCTATAATTTAAGATTTTATTTTGGTGGCTCTAACAGTGCCTCAGCAGCACTTTACTACCCCTGTTCCACACAAAACAGTAATTAAGAGAGACAGGACTTGGTGGTTCACGCCCACAGTCCCAGCATTTGGGAGGCTGAGACAGGAAAAGTGCTGTGAGTCTGAAACCAGCCTGAGCTACAAAGTGAGTTCAAGTCCAGCCTGGACTCATACAAAATGAGACCCTGTCTCAAACAAACATACAAAAAACATTGTTTTTAGGCAAAGTATACTTGTTAAATCAAATCTGAAAGTCAGCCTTGCAT